ATATATATATATTTTTTTTAAGTTTATGGACTTAATTAAATATTTTCATAAAAATTCGGAACTGTATTAAACCTAAAAAAAAAAAAATACAAACACAAAGTAAATGTCTATTTTTTCCGCTCTTCTTCACCCGACATCTAGTAAGATATCTCCTTGTTTTGCTTCTCATTCGAATTCCTCAAAATTAAACTTTTTAATTTTTAAACATTCCAAAAGAATTATCCTAAAATTCCCATTCATCAACTTGAACCACTTTATCTTTCCCTCTTGAAGTTGAAGTTGCACACAAACCTTTCTTAGAAGCTTTAGCAACTGCAATAGCAATAATACACCGCTTGGTGATTCCTTTCCTCTCTGTTTGTTCTTCTCATTTTAGCCTAGTATAAGTTGTACGCTCTCCTACCCATAATGCTTAATAAAACAGTTGATAACAATCATCATCAAAATCCATCCAGAGATGGGTTTCCAGATTAGCCCGCCTGCATAGGCCCACACTTTAAATGGTCATTCTTTTTTAGGTTCACGCTCATATTGCATAGTCTCAAAGAGTAAATGGGCTTATTCGTGACCCATGAGACTAAAATCTTAAAAAAATATTAAAAAAAATCTATTATCTAAATTGAAATTGTCAATCATTGTTATAATGAACTAACTAAATTGTTGTAAAATAGTAACATTACATAAAAAATTAAGTAACTCCAATGTGCCGCCGGCACTTAATAAAGTCCTTCTAATGCCATCATCAAGGAATGCACATCCATGAATACGATTAACTTTAGTGTTCTTTTCACTATCATAAATGTTGACATAAATAATAATAAAAAAAACATTTATTAACGGTTAATCATGTTCTCATTTTTTTTAAAAAAAAAATAATATTTAGACAAAAAGTCCAATTTTAAACGGATGGCCCCTGAGCCTTAATCTATATACATACCCATCTCTATAACCAAATCACTTCCAACATTTTTAATGATCAAGCCTTTTTTTTTTTTTTTTTATAATGATTTGGCACCATAAATATCAATGGGATGATTAGTTTCTTCCTTTAACAAAATAATAGGAAGTGTCAAATAATGTGTTTAGATTGAGGGTAGAAACTAATAGCGAGTAAAATACTATAGTATAACCAACACAAAATTGTTAATTTTTTATTTTGTAAAAAGTGCAAAGCACCATGTTTGGAAACAACCACTAAAGCACAAACACAAATAATAAAAGTAATCTTGCTCAACATAAGCATGTGGAATTGCGCATTACATATCTCTTCCACATCCTTGGAACTTTACTTTTCTCTGTTCCAAGAAACTACAAATATTAACTAATTCAAAAACAATCTGAGCAACTTTGAAATTCCATAAATGTCTGAAATTTTCACACTTGATGCTTGTTCCTCCATATCACATATTGCATTGCAGCTGAGTGATCAATTACAATAAAACAAATGAGACATTTTTTTATCATCAGTTAGCAAGAGAGAGAGAGGGTTTTGTAATACACACTTCTAACTTAACTGATGCCATAGACCAACAACCAGCCACCAAATTCATGAACCCTGCATATCAAACACTGTAAACAACCAAGCACACTTGCAACATCACACGACACAGTCTTGAGCATAACGAACTCACGAATGTGGCAACAATCAGGTACGGCAGAAGCCAAAATGCTTTTCATTTGTTATATGATTAATTGTCCAATAATTACGGGATGACCATCCTTTTTTCTCCGTCTTTTTCTTAGTTTTGGAAACGAAAAGGTGTAGAAAACAGAACAAGAACAACTCAATTATGTTATTATTATTATTATTATTTATATGTTAAAATCTGAAAAGTAAATATTTTAAAAACAATTTTCACATGACATGCATATGAAACAAGTTTTCATTATTTAAAAAAAAAAAAAAAGTTTTTGAAAGCAATAAGCAAACAGGCCCTTTGGCTAAAATATCTTCTAAAAGGCTTGAAATCAAATCAAAACTATTTTTTAAACTATATTATAAATGCGGAAGCCACAAATCAATTTACAAATAACTTCCCCTCGCCATGCACATTGTAATATGTACATAAAAGTCCATAATCCAGATGTTCTCCAGCGGCGTCATTGGCTAAAATAGCCTTCCTTCTTACATTTGTAACCATACAAAGAATATAGCAAACTAAGATCAGAACAGTTAACGGGTTGTGTCCGAGTGATTTTGCGGTTTACTATGAATCAAGGGAGCATAAATATAAAAAAAAAATCTAGCCTTTTGCGTGCTGCAGGGATAGCATATGAAGCACCTAGATACAATGGTATTTAAGTCTAATATTTAGACAACTCATAATTATAAACACTATTAAAACCTATCATTTTTTCTATGTTATTTTATCAAATTATTACCACCAATCATAATAACTATCTTTCTTTTCTTCTATTTTTTTCCTCTTAACGTGTCAAATAGGTGTCATGTTCGAGAATAATTTTTTTGCAAATATAATGATTGGATAGGACAGCATAAAAAGGGGAAAATTCCCTTAAAACCAAGGCTTCTTTTTGGGATAAAGTTTCAGTACTTCCTCTGGCTAGCCTTAGCAGGGGATAAGCAGAACCATTGTAATACCTATTCCAGGAGGTTCATTCTTTAAGTCATCAAGTGTTAATAAGACAATCAATTTGAAATGTGCATAGACAAGTATAAAAACACGTAAACAGCAACATAAGGAAGAAATGAATGAGGAGTAAAAAGAGATGAGGGTGTTTACCCGCACATAAAGCAATGGTTTATGGATTGTTGGGTAATAAAAAGATCCTCTTCAGCTGAAATCAAATTCAGGAACTGTCAGCGTCATCTTCCTTTACAACAGTTTCAAACGAAAACAGGGTAAGGTTGTTTTCATTTTAAAATAGGCATTGGGGATTGGGGATTGGGGAATGAATCCAATGCCTATTTTAAAAATGAAAATAGCAAAGCGCTGTTTCCATTCGAAGAAGAGTGCAGTGAAAAGGAAGGCAAGGCGGTCTAGAATTTGATTTCAAGTGAGGAGGACAGAAGCTGGTGTCTTGTTGTTTGCCAGAAACCCTAAACACTCTCTTCAGATCTAACTTTGTGTTGCCTCCCAAACACATCAGCCATAATAAATACTCCCTCAAATCAAATCACGTCAGCCCTAGTCTTTTCCCCTTGTTTGTTTCCGCCTCTGCCTTCAACTCAAGTGCTTTTAGATCGTAATATTAGTATTATTTAGTACAATATGTAAGGTAATTCATATGATCCAATAATTGTTTTATTTTATATAATAATACTAATTATAATTACTTCAGTATTTGTTAATTATTAAAGATAAAATGTAGGAAGTTATATGTTTAAATATACTTTTTAATCCTTTAAATAAAAGTTGTTATAAAAAAACCTTTTAAGAAAAAAAGACAAATTTGTTTTTCTCCTAAAATTGAAAATAATTTTTTTTAGTACATGTAGTTTGAAAAGAAAAAAATTATTTCAATCTCTATTTTTAAATACCATGAGTAAATTTGTCAAACAAAATTTAATTATTATTAAATCTATCAATTCACCTACTAATATTTTTATTAATAAAAAAATAATATATTAAATTTAGTTGATATTTTTACAATTGATTCAATCTACCATTGTGTGCTGATGATGAATTAGTAATCCTAAAGTGTTAAAAAAGTTTTAATTTAAGGGAACAAAAATAATTTTATTTTAAATTTTAAAAATTACAAAATATTTAACTCATTATATTATTACGGTAGATTAAACTGAGGTCCAAGTTGGATACGAGACATAGAGGATAGTTCAAAAAATTTTACCATGAACATTTAAAAAAAAAAGATAAACTTATTTATAAACTAAAATTAACTTATACATAGTAAATAAAAATTATAGTATTAATTTATTCCAAAAATATATTTTTAACTTACACATTAGTTAGTTTAGGCTATAAAATAATTTGTTTAATTCTTTTTTCTTTTTTCTTTTGAGTGTTTATGTAAAAGTTTATATAAATATACCAATATCCACTATTCAAAAAACAATGATACATTTTTTTTTTGAGTCGGTTTATTTTAACTTTTTAACTTTTTTATTTTCTTTTAAAATGTTAATTTTGATTTATAAGGAGATATTTTTTTTATTGGATCGATATGAATAAAGTCGTTTAAAATTATTTTAACTTATAAATTTTTCAGTAGTATAAAAGATTATTTTAATAAAAAATAAAAATAAATAATTCCTTTATATATATTTATAAAATTATTTTTTCAAACAATAAATATAAAAGTAAGCACTGTTTTGTTTAACTTTTTTTTTTAATTTTTAATTTTAAAAAATATGTAATTATCCAATAAACTTTAATTATTTATAAACATATCACTAATATGTCAAGAATTATGAAAATTACATTATTTTAATTTGATAACTAAAATTTACGAAATAGTGCATAAAATCTATAAAAAAATGTAAAATATTAATTTAAATTAAAATCTATACTTACACATCCAAAGCAGTTCTTGGGCTCTTGCATCACTTTTCTCACCATTCATAAGTTTATTATTATTTTATTACTCGTTATATATTTTGCATGAGCTAATTTGTCGGGCCTTTTGTCTGTTAAGCATGCGGTAATTTCAAGCCCACGGGAACTGTGGTTTTCTTTTCTGATGGATGAAATATTCAGAGACCCCGACGACTAAAGAAATGTGAAGAGTGCTTCTAACCTCTGGCAATTACGCCGGTCATCACTCTTTTCTTCAGCTTTAGACAAATTTTTTATAATGTCAAAATAATTGTTTTTATATCCATTCGCTCAGTAAGTATTTGTTTACCTTTCCAAAAACAAAAAACTAATATTTGTCTACTTAACATTACTCCCTGTCTTGTGGAACATTTAATAAATGCTGAAATGCCCATTAATGCACATCAAAAGCACATAATTTGATCTTAGTAACTCTAATTTTACAAGAGAAATATGTACAACATCGGGTTAGCTACACCCTTATAGTATTGGCTCCTTCCCTTCATCCCAAAGTAAAAGGAATTACCCTCTAGTTTATCGCAAGTGATCATAGAAACATTTCGCAAGGCATAACACCCGTATCGACAAGAGTTGGATCGGGGTAATAAATAAATTAAAAATTCATAAACATGTAATCTAATAGTAATGATTTTTTACTTAAATTTTAAATAGTATATTGCATATTAAAAATAATATGAAGCACTAAAAAATCAATTAATTAAAGAATTGATTGAAAAATTTGCAAATTTAATCAATTTCATTAAAAAAAATTGCAATCCAAGGATTTGATTAATAAAATTTACTGTTTATAAAATGTTAATAGTGTAAGTTTGTCAAAACTATTATGTACCCAAAAAAAAACATAGTTTGTCAAGACTTACATCAACGAATCCCGTCCCTAATTACAACTACAAAAACATTTATTACTTACTAATTAGCCACTCGGGAGCAAGATTCAATTGTCTGTCTCCACAATACTTGGCAAAGAATAAAAAACATGATTCCAGAGTCTTCCATCAGATATCTGACGGTGTCCTCGCCTTTTAGATATCCCTCAGTGGCCATTCATACTTAACTTGTTATTGTGGCAACATGTGGGCACTTACCAAGAGTATTCCACAGAATGTAGTCGCCGGAAGTAACCTGGTTAGGACCAGAAATAATAAGACATGGACAGATATCATTGACAATGGAAGGAACAGGAAATTCTGGTAGTTTTATCATATTCAGTGGGGTTCGCTTAAAGTACGAATCACTGATCTTACACAAACAAATCTAGTAAACCAATACCTGAGTTGAAAACTCCACGGGTGCTTTTACAGCTGGATAGATGCTCACCTACAAAATACGCAAATTATCAGATAGACAACAAAAGGAAAAGGGGGTTTCAGGGCGTAAAAAGTTCAGCAAAGTCGTTCAGTTGTCTTAATGTATCAATTATAGATTCCTTGGATAATGTATCCTTTGAAGTAAAAATTATAGATTCCTTGGAGTAACAAGGACAAGTATGATAAATGAACTACAAGAAATGGCTGCGAAACAACAAAAAGACATGGAAACATAAGTTAACTACCCATTATACTAAACGTGCATAAATTTGTGATACTGAATCAAAATTATACTTAATTGTTTATAAATAAAAAATAAAAAAAAAGTGTCAACCAAAATAGCTCGGTAGACTCACAGATTTAGGATCAACGGCAATTCCAGATACTGATGTCCCAACAACCTTGAATGATACCTATAACAATGAAAATACTAAAATAAGAAGATCTAATCTTTATGGAATTATTAGAGACTTCTAGCATGCTTTCAAGATATGTAGTATTGTAGTCTAATCAAATATATATTCATCAATTTTAATAGAACATGGCTCAAATGCACATTTTTTGTATGAAAAGCTTAACTGACCAGCAAAAACTATAGTTAACAAGGATGTGCGATAAATTTTAAGTAATACTCCATTCATACCAAAATGACTATAGTTTAAGGTTTTTACACATAGGTTAAGAACAACAAAAAATGTATTACTTGTGATGGTTGAATAATTTATAAAAGGGTAAATTAGGGGAAAATTAATATTACATTGAAATAATTTATGAAGGGATAATTAGAAAAAAATAATAATATTGCAATAAAAGGTGAGAATCTCAGTCATTTTGAGACATTTTTCAAGTGCTAAAACTGCACTCAATTTGGGACAGAGAGTATAAATATAACCAGCTAAAAGGAAGCCAACCACACAGACCGTTGGGGCCATGAACTAATTTTTAATTTTAAACTTGGTAAGATTATCAATGACATTCTAATTCTAAACATCAAGGAATACCAAGACAGGCATAAACAGCTTATACAGGAAAGACCTAAATTCTAAGCTTATCACTGAATTATACAATATGCCAACAACTATCTGATTTGGGATATTAAAGAAGAAACCAAATTCCTAAATTCCTAATATTCCTAAGGTGAAAAGACCTCATAGGAAAATTATAAACTTCAAATAATGAAGGTTGGGCAAATCCGGTAACAGAATATTTAGTTATGTTAGAGGTCCAATTGGGCTGGGTTTGTGCTAGATTTACCATACTACTACGGTTGTATCTGGCCAACAATATTAGTAGAAATAGGAGTATTGGGTTAATGTTTTGCATCATCACAGCAACGGTAATCTAGAGTCCTATTAGTGAAATATATTCCTTCTTCTCTCTTCTCCACCCAATCCCTAAATTTCAGCACTAAAAATCTGATATGACATGGTAATATAGCCAAAAGCATAAACTAATCAAAAACCAAAAGAAAAAGCTAAGCAAATTTCAGTCAACAAAAAAATGCAAGCTTCATAGAATATTAAGAGATAAAGAATATCCCTTGCTAAAAGAAGAAAAAAATGGGAAGGCCCGTACTTTAGCATAATTGTATGCCTGCCAGCAAAATGGCTCCTCTAAATCGACTGGAGGAAGATCCTTGTTGATTTTTTCCATCAAATGTTCTTCATTAACCATGTTACCAGCATTATCTGCCTCATTATCACTATCCTCGTCAGCAATGATTCCAAAAGATGACCTGGAGGAAGACAACCTTTGGTTTTGCCATGGTGCAAACTTGACTGTTCCGGGGAAAGTCACTTCAATACTTTTTCCAGTCAGTCCCCGGCCACTTGTCACAATTTTCCATTCAACAGAGTGCTCTGAAGTTGAAACTGTTCCCACAGAAGGAGTCCCGTCCAAAGACACAATCCTCCTCCTAGGAAAGGGCATAGTCACAGTACAGAACTCCATTGTTGAAGGAGCCTTATATCCTTCCATTAAATGCAATTTGAATAGAAATGCACCTTTATCCTCAGAAACCATTGACAACTGATAGAATCCCTTTATGGGGGGACCAAGGGCACAAGTTGCCTGATAACGCATCAACACAAAATTACCTAATGGTGGGGAAAACATCACACCCTGTTTATCCACACCTTGATCGGAAACTTGAGCACAAGGATGATATGATAAAACCCCAAGGTTTGCAGTGTTCAATCCAGACAAGGGAAATGACACATCTGGCAACCCTTCCAAATCAGCTCGACAATTTATTTGACCAGAAACTGATATAGTATCTGGAATCTCATCTCTATCATACAGAGCCGCATGAACAATCTCATGGATTGTAAACAGAATTCTCTGCTTTCCTTTGAATAGATATGGTTTCCAAGCTGGCTGCTTCTGGTCTGCAGGAGGCAAATCTGTTGCAGAAAATCCGTTGGCCTTTATAGTAAAAATATTGGAATAATTAAGGTCCAAGGGTGTGCCTGTATAAAAATATACATTTATAGAATAAATTTACAAGCAATGGGTAACTAGCTTACTTGAAAATCCACGGCAAAAAATGAGATGAGAAATACCATAATAAAAGGTACCAACCAAAGGGCATTGAACTACTGATAAATGTTCTCAGTGCATCTTTATCCAAAGGCCTAGACCCAATTTTTGGAGCATCTGTGTTAACTGATCCTGGTACGGCTGCACCCGAAGGAGTGGAAGAAGCAACTGGTGGAGCTACAGGTTTTGCCCTGGAAGAGATGCCTATACTACCAGTGAGTGAATCAAACAGCCCTCCCACAGAGGGAGCTGCGCTTACAATCACTTCTGGTTCTACAGTGTCGCCAGTAATTATGTCACCAATGGCATGTGCTACCATAAATGCCCTGTGAAATTAAAGGCAAAAGTAGCTCAGAATCTCTGATTAAAAGTACATAATAGAAAGTAAAACCCCAGCACCAACAATACTGTAAACTCACTTGGGAGCAATGGTAGTGCAAGTGCAATCGATTTGGTACTTAAAAAAAAGAAAGAAAAAAAAAAGCGCAATGTAAGAAGGACAAATAATTAGGGGCTTTCTTTTCTATATATTCCCAAACAATACGACAAGCACATATGCAAAACAAATGAAAACTGTAGTCATCTTGTTAGACAGCAGAACAACAAGATACAAATAGAATGTTAAAAGTGTATTATAGGAAGAAGGGTACAAATAGGAATTAAACTTATTTTATCCTTTGACCTATTAGTTAGGTTGTCGGTAACAATTAGTTAGTTTAGGCCTTCTTTAAATAAGCCCCTGTTTAGGCTGAGGGGGAGGATATTCATTTTTGGTTAGTTTCCCAACTGGACAGATTCCAGTGTGAAAGGAGTAGCCTCCTTTGTGTACTCATTTCTTCTAAAATTCAATAAAACTCAGGGACAAATAATGCCCTTTTCCCCTCTGTCCTCCCTGAAGACCTAACACATCTTCTCACCCTTTAGCCCCACCCTAAATGAAAAGGAGTCCAATGGCCACTACATTACATCTGCCTAAACAAGCTGAACAAAACCTCACTCTACATAGCATTCTGTAGTAAAATGAGATAATGTTCTCGTACATGTGTTTCAAAATTCCTTTCAAATTGAGTTACCAAAATAAATAAAAGAGCAATCCAATTAAAAATAGAATTATAATGCTAATAACAACTAATCAATCTAAAACTACTTGTAAGTGGCATTTTCAAGTAACTAGATTAGCATACCCTGTTACTGATGGAAGGTCCAACAAGAGGGAAGACAAACCATTATCCATTCCAAGAGCCGTTCCACAATCAGGTCTTTTACACAACCCTACATACGCCTTTAAATGCCTAGGCTCAACCAATGGAAGAATAAGTATACTGTAAAGACCCTTTATGTGGAGGATTAAAGGCCACAAAAGATTCTTATCGCCCTCCTCTTCTTTGTTAATGTAAAGACCGATGATATGACAAGTAATGGGATCATCCACCCAAGAATCTGATCCCAGAGATGAATTACTCTTGCGTATGCCAAATCCTCGTGCAGATCCCTCCCTACAGAAAAGCAGAAAAAATCATTCAAACGACAAAGGTTCCCAAAACACATGAGACAAGTATGATGTGTATAGCATAGCAACAGTGAGATTTGTTTAATTGAATAATGTGAATAGCATTTTGGCGTTCTAATAATGAGATGGAAAGCAGGAATTGGAGTGAAAAGAGAGAATAGAGAAGATAAAGAAAACTAACAAACCTATGCTTTCGGCGGAGAAAAGCATCAGCGAGGGCAGAGTCAGTGGGTAAGGAAGAGAAGAGTTGATCGGTGTCATCAGAGTGGGCGTTGCAAGAAGCACGCCAACGTTTCTCTACCACCGGAAACCTCCTGAGGGTATAAAAAGAATAAAAAGTTGAATGTATTTGCGGAGAGGAGTTAGAGTTGAGGGAAGGAGAAGAGGGTACCTGGAGAAAACGACGGCGTCCAGGTTGTTCAGAATCCATATTGCTCTGATGCTGCATCCACTGCCCATCATGCTACTCCCATCGTTACTCCATCACGCACCCTTCCTCTATATTGGATTCAAACTATCTCACTTCTCATCCCTTTCTCCTCTTTTTTTTTTTTAATTTTTTTACCAAGTTAAATTCAGATACTAATTTATTATTTTCTAATAATGCTATTTGAAACCAAATTAGTCGATAATACCAAATTTACCGATAACTTGTAGTAAGGTTATGCCACCAATTACTTTTTCGGGAAAAAAAAATACATCAATTAAACACTAATAGTATTCCTTAAAAAAAAAAAAAAAAAAAACTAACAGCAGGGCAGCTACCTCATGGAATAAGTAAAGACCTGTTTTGCAACATTCAACTGAATGAGAATCTTCTGTCTTGAAAACACAGAAGAGATTATAAAACATACACCCGAATGCAGCAGAGTGGTACCGTGGAACAGATATTGTAATTTGAATAACCACCAAAACTTTTTTATATTTTATTAGTAAAAAACATTACGTACCTTCGTTAAAAAAAATAACAAATATTTTCTAATAACTTTTACAGTTATTAGAAATTATTAAAGATAAAATAATAAAGGGAAAAGTAGACACTAAAATAGACAACCTCATTTATTATTGATATATATTATATTATTTTATTTTATGTACTTTTTTTCTTCTTTTGCGATGAGAATTCACTACGGTTGAAAAACAATTGCAAATATTTATCGTCCTAAAATCAGTTTCCAACTTCCCTGATCTTGAAAATAGTTTCTCAACTTTCAAATTATTAAGTCGCCTGCGGTACTCCAGATGACCCGATTCCGTGTCATTAGAGAAAGAGATTTATTTTTTGAAAGGTGTAAAACCTCGCCTTAACAATATTCCATGTAATTATAGCATTGCTCCTTGAAGTATATAAATTACACATCACGAAATCTTTTTTCACATTTATGATCTGTGTACGATGCAACTCTCTATGTGATAAGATAGTTCATAGTTGGAGTGACACAAATATTCGCAAATTTTCATACAAGTATTCGTAGCATAACTTAGCTCAGTTTGTATTGACGTTCTCGTTATACTACATAGAAACTCTGACTCGCACCTATAAGTCAACAGATAAAGTGCAGCGTTTGTATTTGGGAATCGGAGAGGGAGTAGAAAGAAAGAAAGAAAGAGATTACAGAACATTCACAAAATCCATACTTAAACAAAGAATTCAAGTTGCAAGCAAAGAACAAGATCTCTTGAAGAAGAATTGAAGCTTATACATAGAGCAGTGATATAAAAACAAACCTTTAAATTTGCTTAACAAGATTTCTCCATAACGTGTTAAATCAATAACACTCTTTTTATATCTACCTATAGACCATGCTACTGTAAACAACATTTATTTATCTACACCGCTGACTTCTACACTCTTGATACACTTATTACAACTCCTATAAAGTCATACACCCTACTTTGCCTCATCTTTCATTCCCCCCTAAAGATTAGACTGAGTTGCCAGCAGCCTTTTGTATATTCAAATAACAAGCAGAAAAAAGCTCAGGGTCAGAGATATAAATGTATATGATCTAAAGGTCCACGCATAAGTAGGCAATTACAGAGCCTGCTCGTCGCTTTGTCCGTTGGCTAACCTTCCACTTCTCAACCAGGACTTTCTTTATGTTGGGACAGCTAGAAACAACGGTGGCCACTCCAGCTGATGTTATACCAGAGCAATAAACCATTTGACAAGACTCCAGCATTGTGCAACTTTTCACAAGATGTGTCAGGCCAACATCAGTAATTTGACGGCAGTGTGAAAGCACTATTTCTTTAAGCAATGTACAGTGTTCTCCCAACTCAGCCATTGCCATATCACCCAGATTCTGAAATTATAACGAGAAATGTAATGAAAAGAAACAAGAAAGTAAAATGAAAAGGTAATTAAATTTCATAAGGTTACAGACTAGCTATTAGCAGGTTGACCAATTTAGAGAGTTTTTAGAGATTCGCCAGGACTAACTCTCGTATGTATTATGGAATATTAACTCTTCCATATAGATATTACATGATTATGTAATGTAGTTCTAATAAACTGTTTACAGCGAACATCCACAAGCTACAGTTTGGTGGCATGATATATCAAAACATATATGCAGTCCTAAGCCATGTGAATGTTTGCCATGCACTTTATTACTGTGAAACAACTATGACAAAATCAAGAAACCACACATTACTAAACAGAAAAAATATGGAAAACCTAAAAAAAAGTATATGTGCTTTGGAATACAGAGAGAGAGAGAGAGAGGAACACATACCTGTAGCACACTCACATCTAAATAACAGAGTTGAGGACAGCCCCTTGCAATGGCTATCACTCCAGCATCTCCAATTTGGTGACAACCACTTACATTCAAATAATGAAGGGAACAGCCCTCGGCTATTGCAGTAAGGGCTCCGTCCCCCACCCTAGCAATTCAACAACAGAGGTTAGGGTATACAATACATTCTCCACAGTTAACAACATTTAATATGTTCTGAATAATCTAGAATTCTCACTTTTCATATCAACAGAAAGAAATTACGGAAGATAAAAGATAGAGAGAGAATCATATATTCTTTTGATAAGAGTATAAAAGCAGCAAATAAAATTTTACCTGTCACAGAATCGAATGCTAAGATCTGTTAGCGAGTTACAATGCTTGCCAACAGCAATGATTCCCTTGTTCCCAATCTAGTAACAACAAAATGAGAGCAAGAAACAAACATATAAAACTCTATACTAAAATGTTAATTGATCAACTATAAAAGTTAGGTTACATTATATTATATATCACAGTCTATAACAGGTATCTTTCATTGAAAATCATTTTCAAGCACTACCCTTTCAAATACTTTTCCTATATTTCACATCTTCTCTTGGGAGGAAAAAAGTAAGTAAATAATTAACTATATCATAGTCATGATGAGAAACATCAGAGTTAAAAATGAGTATATAATGGAATAAAACATGGAAATACTTGCTAAGAGCCTAAGATGCAAAATAGCAAGGGATAGTATGTCGTCTTAAAATAAAATAAAATAAAAAAGTACATTTATTTGCTTGCACAATAAATTGGTTATAATCCGTCTTGCTAATGAGAAATGGTGTCATTCCTGCCAGCTTCATAAAAACTACAAATTCCTGAAGACTTGTTACCTTGTAACAACGCCGAATATGAAGTTTCTTTAGATTGCTGCATCCACTAGCTATACTACACATGGCATCATCTCCAATGCTTGAGCAATCTACCAAGTGAAGAACTTGTAAAAATTTGCATCCCCGTCCCACCTCAAGAAGGCTAACATCACCTATTCTATGGCAGTAAAGCAATGCTAACTCGGTGAGATGCCTGTACATATTAAAAAGCTGGGATTATCATCATATTGGAAGAAAATGGAAATCATTCAACATTTTTGCCACTTGTGCAAGCAAGGACAACCCAAATATTCAAAACCATAAATTGATGATCGACAAGGAAAAATGAATGATGAAATGAATTGAGTGGAGTGCATACAAGATTAACAGTTAAATTCACAAAATCCTCCAGTTGAAGACAAATTTATAATAATTCTAGCGAGCTGATTGAAACAATTTTACATAATATTACTCCAATATCAAAAGCACGTGATTTAAAGAATTTACAGCTTTGCTTTAATGTGACCCTGTTAGCAGCTCCAACAAAACCCACAGTAATCTGGGGTCCCTTTTTTCTTTAAATTAGGAATGCTAGATTGCAAGTGCATGTACTGTGTTTGTCACTTTTTGCTTTTAAATGTTTTTACACTAGGAAGCTGTTATGTAAATATGAATTAGAAAGGAATGTTAATTTTGTAACTAATTTAATACAAATATATATATATTGTATTGTATTGTATTGTATTGTACATAGGATTTATTTCTATTTTTTATTTTCTTTTTTCACTTATTTGTGAAAATTATCTATTAAAAATTTAGATAGAATAGCTTCAACCTAGTTAAACGAAAATGAAAAAATAAAATCTGAATAAATACCAATACTTATTTCGAGTATAAGGAGAGAAATTGAAATAAATAATTCTTAGTTAGGATTTTATGGTTGTTGGGTAGCTGTCTATAAATAAAGCATGAATGTTTTATATATTGGACAAACTGGAACAATAATAACAGAAGTGCAGTGCACAGTTCTCTGGTCTATCTGTTTCTCTCATCTGTCTATCCTCACTGTTCTGTTCTCTTCTTCCCTGTTCCTGTCTTTCTTTGTTTATCTGCTTCTTTCCGTTTCACACCTAAATCCTATATCAGTGACATCTAGAGCCTAGCTGTCTACAGCTTTTAGTCCGGAATTTTTCCCTCAATGACCACAAAAAAACAATCGCAAGTGACAATGCATGAAATGGAAGAATGCTTCATCCAAATTGAACAGAGACTTTCAAAGGTCGATACACAATCAGACATGGTGGGGATCAGTTCTTCTCTGCTTCAGTGGTTAACACATGAAAACAAAGGAGCATCCATCAATCTTGGACATGATTACAGAGATGGGCACCACTATACACAGCCATCAACAAGATTATTTCTAGGAAGATGCAGTGATTCTAATAGAAGAGAGTATGATGGCCACCCAATTTACAAAGATGGAATTCCCAAAATTTCAAAGTGGAGATATTCTTGCTTGAATCATATCTACAGATTACATGGACCACTACTCAAGATAATTAGTGATAAGGATCATTTTTTGTGAGTAATTTTTTCAAGGAGTTCTTGAAAACTTTGGGGATTGAACAGAAATTATCTCCCTCTTAAGGTTTTACCATCCCATTCAAAGTTTAAGACTCTTGAGGGCTAGGGTCCTCTTTTTGGGAGGCATATTGTTACATAAATATGAATGGGAAAGGAACGTTAGTTTGTCAGCTATTAATAGTTAGGATTTTATGATTGATGGGTAGCTACCTATAAAAAAGGCACGGCTGTTGTATATTTTGGACAGACTGGAAAAATAAAAACAGAAGTGCAGTGCAAAATTCTCTGAACTCTGTTTCTCTCATCTCTCTATCCTCTGTGTTCTGTTCTCTTCTTCCCTCTTCCTCTCTTTCTTTCTCTGTATTTATCTTCCTTTCTATTTCTTTCTCTTTCCCACCAAAATCCTATATCAGAAGCCTAAATGTGTAATATATATCACTATTCCAATAAATTTACTGAAAAGTTACATGTGTACTGACCCAATCATTCATCCACCAGAACAAGCAGAAACGGACCTTAGTGTAGCATCAGAAAGCATACGCCATTGTCAAACAATAGTCATGGTACATTCACCATACACAACAAAACTTCTACTTCCTGTGATGCTTTATTGAGTGATCATTTAAAGAGCGAACAAATGCATTAATATGATCCGAGGAAAACTATCAACTTAATAAATCAAATGCATTAATATGATCCTAGGGAAACTATCAACCTGATAAATTACTTGGCTTCAACTAATTTAAATTTCTTGGTTCCTACTTTGTTAGCATAGTTAGATGCATACACTTAACTGAAATCAATGCACCCATAACATTTTCACGTGTAATTTAGCTCAGAGAAAAACATACTGGCAAGACCTCCCAATGTATTCTAGCCCCATAGTTCCAATGTTGTGACATCCATTGACTTCAAGATGTGTAAGTTCCTTGCAGCCAGTAGCAATTGCTTCCAAACCCTTGTCGCTTAAGAAATAGCAATCAATTAAAGTCAAATTCTTTAACTTCTTACATCCATTCCCAATAGCACGCAACCCCCTGGATATAAGACATTGTTATAAAAGAATTACTAAATAAAACAAAAAATTCTTGAAAGAATTATAAGGAAGACACCTAATTAATGATCAGACACGTGAGAATATACTATGCCCCCATGTGTCCAACAAATAGATAAACAATTTAAACAAGAATTTTCAATTTGGACTAAGCTCAGCAAGTCTCGAAATATATAATGTAAGAATATGAATTTCAGGGGGAAAAAAATGTAAGAGAGCAGCTCACTTATCAGTAAATCTCTGAAAACTATATAGTGCCAATAACTCCAGAGACCGACAGTTAGTGCCTACAGCTTTCAAAGCATCATCTGTAACATTAATACATTGCAGCTTTAGAACTTTCAAAATTGGACATCCTTGAGCCACAGAAAGCAGCCCTTTATTGTGGATGAACTCAGAGTCCAACGACAAGGTCTCAAGGGACCTGCAGTGTGATCCTACAGCCTCCATCGAGATATCAGTTATTTTGGCACAAGCAGCCACACCAAGAGATTTCAATGTCTTTCCCACACCTAATGCTAATTCAACCAAACCCGTATCAGTCAAGCCTTCACAGAATCGCAGATTCAATTCTTCAAGCTGCTTGCAACACTGTCCAACGGCAATCAGACCTTGATCCCCAACATAACAACCCTAAAGGAAAATCTCAGTAATTATAATTGCAAATATGGCGTGTAGATTTGTAGACATTAAGAGAATAGTAAGTCAAAGAATGAATTCATAAGATTGACATTTGTACTATCCTAAATCTCTAATCAAGTTGTGGCTGACCGATCTGGTAAGCGCAGTTGACGAGATAGATTATAAATGGCCATAAAGTGTTCTTTATTAGTTATAATTTCAGTTACTAGATAATAATGACTGTATATCTCATAGATATGGCTCCTTAGATTATGAATTTAAAGGGGATAAGAGCAGCGTAATGGGGTACAGTTACACACATAGAGGCAAATTACTGAATGAATGCTATGAGAATGTGGCCCTAAGGGTGTGAAAGGGAAATGGAATTACCTGCAAGTCCAAGGCTTTGAGAGAAGTGCATTTTCGAGCTAGGGATGCCAAGCCATCGCTAGAGACGTTAGAACACCAGATTAAGCCCAATTTGTGAAGCTTGGGAAAGCCTTGGCCGAGAGAAGACAAACCAGCATCGGATAAACAGAGAGAATCGAGATCGCCCTCGTCGTCGGTGGGTCTTCTTTTCCCCTGGGAAATAAAGGATGAAATTAGAGTTGAAATTGAAATGTGAGAAGGGAATGAAAGAGGGAATTGATGACGGACGAGGTGGAGGGGAATGGAGAGGCGTTCGTCGATGTAGAGGTTTCTGAGATTGGAGAAACGGGTGGGGAGGAGGGTGAGGAAGAGGTGGGTGGCTCCGATTCGGAGGGTGGTTCGAGTTCGGCGCTCGAGGCGGAACCAGCGGCGGCAGACGAGGGAGCAGGCGTCGCGGGTTGACTTGGAGAAGAGGTAGGAGAAGATTTCGACGATTAACTCGTCGGGGAGGGAGGTGTTGATCCAATCGTGGCCTCGCATGGGGGGTGGGGATGGATCGGTGTGTTTTGTATTATTGAGATGGATATGAGAGAGAAAGGAATAACAGAAGAATATCATTCACATTGCCATTCCCATGCACCAAATACAACGGCGTTAAAACTGCCCCGCTCCACTCCACTTTCCTTCGCTTCTCTTCGGCTTTCACTCCACATATCCTAATTACACCATCAAATTCAAATTCACTAACCATTTTCATGCTATTCATAGCCTATCATTTTCTAAGAGAACACACATGTTAATTTCAGGGTAAATGCCTCAAATTTCAGTATTATGATGGAAAAAATATATGATATTTTTAATGTTTTTTTACATATCATTTATATATAATTACTAATGTTTGTTATGTTTTTGTATGTTACTACCTCCATTCCTTGTTACTACCCATGCTATAAGTTTTTTTTTTTGTTTTTTATAAAATAATTTTGATATATATTTTCTATCATACTTCCTCTCATTTTTGTTTTGCAATAAATGTATGTTATTATTAATGTGTAAATAAGTTAAATAAAAATTAGGTAAGATATAAAATTATAATTGACAAAAAAAATAATTAATGATTTCTTAAATAATTAATGTTTGAACTCAACTCGATTTTGAAAAAAAAATCCTAAACCCTAAACAAAGAAAATCCACTCCATCTCATCTTGCTAATTTATATATATATGAACATGCATATACATAAATATAAAAATTAGAGTTCAAATTTTATTTTTATAAATATTAAAAATATAAATTAATTATCTTATATTTAAATATTAAAATCATATCAATTAAGTAACACATTTAAAATTATATGTTTAATTAAAAATATAATTTAATTTTTAAATATTTAAAAGTAACAAATTGAAATAATTATATAATATTTATTAAATTTAATGTCATGTTTTTATTAATAGAGATATTAATTTACTATAAGAACATTAAATAGATTTTATGCATCTATATTTGAAAACTTTTTTTACAAAATTTGAATATAAAGATTAAAATATTTTTTT